CCAAAATATGGCATAGGAGGGCTTTAGATGTGTCTATTACAAGTACAGGTGGAGGTTCCACAGGCTTCCCTCCTCAGGGACTAGAGACTAGATTAAGGGTCAGTGTATACCCCAATGAGCCTTGATTCGTACATTCCACTTGCACTGTGGGCCAAAGGAGCAAGCTTTAAACTCACAGAGAACTGATTTGTAACTCATCTTTCATTTTCTTTACAGCCACAGAATGTACATGGAAATAGGAAATTGATATAAATCATAACAATTCATTTAAGTCATGATAAAATCTTTGCAGGATTTTACTTCCTAGATTTTTTTTAGTGACAATTCTTTTTGTTTTTACTTCTGCTTGTTCCAGCTCACTTTTATACTGATAGTGTTTTTCCTCTCATTTTTTCTTTTCCCTGTAGTCTACAATGCTGTTTTTTTTTCATTTATTCATCAATCTATCGATATCTTTCCTGTATCTATATCAATATAGATGTGCTCACTTAAAAGTAACCCATACATTTTTAACGGAGCATAAGAATGAAACTAAATAGGAAATATAATTTGAAGGCCAATGATCCACTAATTATGATCCACATAATTGAAATTAAAAACCTAAGTAGAAAATTTTAACCTCAAAATACTATGCAAATATTAGTACCTGATGAATACAAGTCCCCTCCCCCTGTAACTTATTACAATGATAAAGAGCAAGAATAAAAACCAGATCTCTGAGAGTTTGGCCTCTTGATCATTTTACTGACATTATCATAAGGGAATTTTCACTTTTTACAAGGCCAATATAACTAGATTTAAAAATTCATTCATGAGTCCTTCTAAGTTAAGCCACTGGAAATTGAACAAGCCTGTCCATCTTTAGGTAGACAGAGAGATCCTTTGCTCCTGCAGCACAGACTATAAGGTCTGTATACAGTTATATATACAGACCTTATAGTCTGTATATAACTATATATATATACACACTATATATAGTCCGTGTGTGTGTGTGTGTGTGTGTATCTCCTTTGCTCTTATTTCTACCAAAATAAGAGCACTTTTTGTGCTACCTCCCATCTTTAAGAGGAAGTTTATGGGTGGAGCAAAGGCATGATGAGACCTCGTAGAAGTCCCTGAAAGCTACTCCTTGTGTGCGTGTGTGTATGTGTGTGTGTGTGTGCATGCATATACATTTCATCTTTTCAAAATGTCAGAGTCATTCAATTGGGCTAGCAGGAAATTTCATTCTATGCCAGGACAACAATTTTAAAAGACTCCTTGGCAGAAACTGAAAAATTAAACTAGCAAATGTACACATAAACCATATCTTTTCTCCCAATAACTAAGATAAGATTCAGCCTAGCAGCCAACTTGGCAGACTTTAAGTTGTTCAAAGTCATGCTTAATCCCTGCCTGCTGGCAAACTGTGGATCTTGATAGGTTTCTTTCTTTTCTGATGATAAACAATAAAATAAGAATTAAAAAATAATACCACAGAATAAAGAAACGGAAACAATCACCTGGTGACTCAGAGAAAGTTTACCTCTGAGAACTATCTTCCACAGAAATCAACTTACAGGCCATTTACAAAGTTTCATTATTAAAGAAGAAAAAAAAACCTTACTGGAAAGGTAAAATTCATATTTGTATTCTGAAGTATGTAATTATAGAATACAATAGGTACAAACTTGTAGAATTTTAAAGGGAGATTTTGTTCAGTCAAGAATTAATATTCAGAAGAAATGCTGTTTACATAAAAAGGTAAAGGAGGCATATTTGGAACTCAACAATATATACAGTCATCCCTCAATATCTAGGGGGGATTGATTCCAGGATCCCCTGTAAATACCAAAATCCATGGATACTCACATCCTTTATATAAAATAGTGCAGTGTTTACATATAACCTACACATATCCCTTCGTATACTTTAAATCATTTTTAGATTACTTATAATACCTAATGCAAGGCAAATACTATGTAAATAGGTTCCAAATTATATTGTTTAGGAAATAATTACAGGAAGGAAAGTGTAAGTGTTCAGTACAGACAGTCCACTGTATTCTACATAGTCTTCTTGAAGAAGTTATTTCAAGATATATTCCCTCTATCCTACACACCAGTGAAATGAATAAATGAACAATGGAGTGCTAAAATTTTAAGTACTAAGCAATACAAGTAGTGAAACGCTGATCTAGGCCTAAAAATATCGTAAAATTGATTAACAAATCAAATATAAATGTCAAAAATATATATATATATATATATTTTTTTTTTTTTTTTTTTTTTGAGACGGAGTCTCGCTTTGTCACCCAGGCTGGAGTGCAGTGGCGCAATCTCGGCTCACTGCAAGCTCCGCCTCCCGGGTTCACGCCATTCTCCTGCCTCAGCCTCCCGAGTAGCCGGGACTACAGGAGCCCGCCACTGCGCCCGGCTAATTTTTTTCTATTTTTTAGTAGAGACGGGGTTTCACCATGGTCTCGATCTCCTGACCTTGTGATCCGCCCGCCTCGGACTCCCAAAGTGCTGGGATTACAGGCGTGAGCCACCGCGCCCGGCCCAAAAATATTTTTATAAAAAAGGACTTATTTTTTGGTAATTCAAAATCATATTCTTGGTCAGATATGCTAATTTTATAATAAGTGAAAGTGAAGAAGATGAGAAAAGTAGTAGAAAAGAAACCAAAGTTTTCATGTCCAGTAGTTGGAACTCAAAATAATAATAAAATAATTTAAAACTGAGGGTATTATTCCAAATGCCCAAAGAAGATGTAACAGTGTCCAATTGTTATGTCTAAAAGACATAAACTATATGGTAAAATACATAAAAAGCCATAAATGGTAACTAAAACAGACAATTTACCTATAACAATGCATCATAAATACCAAATGTCAACTAAAAAGAAAATAAATGGTTTGAAAGGCAGTCATTAAAAATTATGTTTACAAAGATATTTGGTTACATGATAAGATGCTTATGCTCATAGTAAGTAAAAATGACAGAATTGGGGATCTAAATTCCAAATGTTCTACTTGCTAATTATGTGAACTTGCAAAATAATTAGCTTATAAGTCTAAATTGTACATTATAAAAGGAGATGGTGATACGGTTTTGCAGTGTCCCCATCCAAATCTCATTTTGAATTGTAACTCCCACAATTCCCACATGTTGTGGGAAAAATCCAGTGGGAGGTGACTGAATTATGGGGGCAGGTCTTTCTCATGCTGTTCTCATGATAGTGAATAAGACTCATGAGATCTGGTGATTTTAAAAACAGGATTTCCCTGCACAAGCTCTCTTCTCTTGCCTGCCACCATCCATGTAAGATATGACTTGCTCCTCCTTGCCTTCCATCATGATTGTGAGGTCTCCTGAGCTATGTAAGTCCATTAAACCTATTTCTTTTGTAAATTGCCCAGTCTTGGGTATGTCTTTATCAGCAGTATAAAAATGGACTAATGCAGATAGTAATAGTATCTTCCTTACATGGTTTTTGTAAAGACTAACAAAAATCACAAACTGTTTTACAAAATGCCACATCCATACTAGTGTAAACATTCACTCAATTTTACCTACAATTATTATCATTAGTAGTAAAAATAAATCCCAGTGATATATCACTATAAGAAACTGTATTAAGATTTCTTAGAGGTTTATTTCTAAATACTGGCATTATAAGTGGATTCTTTTATTTTTAAGATATTTTCTTATATGTCTTAAATCCTAAATATCCTTTTAAAAATATATCTTTTCTACATCAGAAGAGATAAGATGTTATCGATAAACTGAAGTTCTTTTTATTACACTTATCCTTCCTGTCTCACAAGAGACAATCATTATAAATGATAAAATAAATACATGAAATGTTTATTCAGCAATTTGTGACGGTTAATTTTATATGCCAACTTGACTGGGACACGGGGTGCCCAGATGTTTCGTCACACATTATCCTAGATCTGTCTGTTAGTGTGCTTTGGATGAGATTAACACTTGAATTAGTAAAGTAAGTGAAGTAGACTTCCCTCAGTCGTGTGGATTAACTCGCTCTAATCCGTTGGCCAGAGTGGAACAAAAAGGCCAAACCTGTCACAGGCAAAATAAACTTCACCTGCCTGATTGTTTGAACTGGGACATCGGTTTCTTCCTGCCTTTGGACATAAACTGAACCATCAGCACTTCCTGGGTCTGAAGCCTGCTGACATTTGGACTAGATGCACACCATGGACTCTTGTGGATTTCCAGCTTGCCATCTGCAGATCTTAAGACTCATCGGTTTTTTATAATTAAGACCATTCCTTACAATAAATCTCTCTATGTATTATATACATCCTATTAGTTCTGTTTTTCTGGAGAACTCTAACACACAACTCAAGATTAAATCATTCTCAAAATGTTACATAGTTCTCAATACACACATAGCATTGCTGGTGTTACTGTGCTTAAGGGACACCATATGGGGTAGAAAGAAGAAATTTCAAAAGTCATATCAGAATAATAAGATGCAGTAAATTGAGAAATGTCAGCAAAAGTTAATAAAATTGCCTTTAACACAGATCAATCAATCCAGTTAATTCACTATTTGAATAGTCTGTAAATTCCTTATAAGTCTTTTTGTCTCACTCCTTGCTCTTCACCACTTAATATAGATAACTGAATCAGGAAGCCATTTAAAGTCATTGTAGACCTATGTTGTGTGTCAACATACCATCTATCTAATCAACAACAATGCATTTTTAGTTGCAACTGCTTAAAGTTCTCTTATTCTTCTGTGGCATATACTTATTTACAGTTTTTACTAAATCACACATAGCAGTGAACTCCACAAAATATTATCATTGTCAATATTCCTCTGTATATTCGAAGTTAATCAGTTAATAATTTATAGTCTAAAAAGAATTATATCTAAGTAATGATCTGAATTTCTCGTTCCAAGTCTCATTTTAATTCCTTTAGTTTCTTCTGCTTCTAGTCTCCAGAAAGAGCCCAATAAACAATAAGGGTAACATGCAAATAACTTACATGTGCAAGTTGTCCCATTTTCATCCAAAAGTTGATTATCAGCACAAGCACACACCCGGCCTCCTGGGATAGCCAAGCAAAGCGTACTACAGCCCCCATTATTTACTCGGCACATATTGTCACCTGCAAGAGGAGGAAAGCAAATGTGTCAGAGAACTCTGATTCACTTTCTTTCCAGGAGGTGAACATAGATGTAATTACATACACATATATGTGCTATGTATGTTATATATTTAGTAATATAGTCAGGATTGCTGCCGAATCATAACTAAATTCATTAATGTTTGAAAATATGTGATGCATTGGTAGATAAGGATAAGTTTCTCATTAATTGGAGGAGATAGAGGTCTGAGTGAAGTTAGGTACTAGGTGAGGAAAGAGAAAGAACAGAATGGTGTTTGTCTTGGATCGTTTTCCAGATTAGGCCTATTGTATTCAGGTCTGAGTTCTTTGGAAAGTAGACCACTGGCTCTCAGAATGTGGTTTTGGAGCCCCAGGAAACAGAAAGCAAATGAGTGTGGGAGCAAGGGTGGGGTATTCTTTTATCTTGTGCGGTATACACCACAAAGTCAGTGTTTTGAGGACTCCAGGAATCACAGGACATCTGTGAAGACTCAAAAATGAGCAGCCTTGCTGGTATAAGGTGAATGTACAGTTCACAAGGGTGAAAGTGTTCTCCCGGTAGATCTAACGAGCAGAGGCACGAATGAGGTATACGATAGACATCAATTAAGCAGGCATGAGAGGAAATTCACAGAGGTGCTATTCACGAACCTATGTCAGGCACCCTTGCAGACTCTCAGATAAAATTGAGTAATTATGTTTAAATCAACAAGTAATAATTGTTCATAGTCATAGTGATATTTCAGTAAACATAATGTATAGTAATCAGATCAGGGTAATTGGTATATCCATAATCTCAAACATTTCTTATTTCTTTGTGTTGTGAATATTTAATATCCACTTTTCAGATATTTGAAACTATATATCATCATTAACTATAATCATCCCACAGTGGTATAGAACCTTGGAACTTATTCCTCCTATCTAGCTGTAATGTTGTATCCTTGAACAATTGTAAAGGTGTTGGTACAAATAAATACAATTTAGATTGCCAATTCATCTTACAGGTTGGAAAGGAAAGGAAGAAAGTGTATTTACACTTGTGCATCACTTAACGATGGGTATACATATTAAGAAATGTGTAATCACATCATTGTGCCAACATCATAGAGCATCCTTACACAAACCTAGATAGTAGAGCCTGCTGCGCACCTAGACTACATGGCGCTAAAAAATGTTAGCTAGATGGTCGGGTGCGGTGGCTCACGCCTGTAATCCCAGCACTTTGGGAGGCCGAGGCAGGCAGATCACGAGGTCAGGAGATCGAGACCATCCTGGCTAACACGGTGAAACCCCATCTCTACTAAAAATACAAAAAATTAGCTGGGCTGGGCGGGGTGGCGGTCGCCTGTAGTCCCAACTATTCAGGAGGCCGAGGCAGGAGAATGGCGTGAACCCGGGAGGCGGAGCTTGCAGTGAGCCGAGATCGCGCCACTGCACTCCAGCCTGGGCAACAGAGCCAGATTCCGTCTCAAAATAAAAAAAATAAAAAAAATAAATAAATAAAAATAAAGTTAGCTAGAAAAATATTTTATGGAAAAAATGTCGTCTTTAAAACACGTTTAAGTGACTACTTTTCAAACACAGTGCTAAAAAATTGTATACCTATATATCAAATATTGCTTCTGGGCTACAAACCTGTACACAGCATGTTATGGTACTGAATACTGTAAACAATTATAACACAATGATAATAGCGTTTCTTTATCTGAACATACACAAGGTACAGTAAAAATACATTACCATTACCTTATAAGACCATCACCATACATGCAGTCCATCATTGACTGAACCATCTCTATGCCACATATAACTATACTTACCTATAAATGTGTCAAACTTTAAAGAGAACGCAACACTAGCAATACAACAGGTAATATAATCGCAGGGTGATATTACTCTATGTTGCAGTTTGTTCAAAGTATCAATAAATAACATTTGGATTACATCAGAAGATTTTACTGAAACATTAAAAATAGCGAGCTTTTAATTACCTAGAGCCATACAATAAGAGAATAAAATAATTAAAGTGCAAATACCAGCAGTGTGATTAAAGTGACAGACTAGGTTGTAATACTGTGAGCCTCAGAGGTTGGATATGCTATGTGGAGGATAATAAGACGTGAGAAAAAAAACTCTAAAATGCTCCTTCATGCAATAAATATTCAATACATTACCACAAGTTATCATTGAGTGCCCACTGATCAGAAAAAATGACCTAAAGTATATTCTCATTTCATTATCTTGAAAAATAAATTTAATTCACTGTGTTTATAACAAATTTAAAAATACATATGAAAGCCAAGAAAGCTAATAATTCATGCTACAGTATCAATTGCTGAACTCAGAGGGCAATTAAGCCTAACACAGAGGTTTTTTTTAAATAGGAAATGCATAAATGCTTTAAGCAGCTTCCAGATCAGGTCATGTTTATTCCACGATCATGGGATAAAAATGCAATGCTTCATAGAATGAATAGTTATTCTATGTTGTACACATTCTGTACAGGATGAAATAGTATATTTAATATTTTAGGAGCATTCAGATTCTGGAAAATTAGAATTAATTCAATATATTTTGAGAAATATATAAAGAATTTAAGCAGTAAGAAATAAGGAATTACTGACAACATATTGAAATGTTGAAATTATATGCTAAATATATTCTTTAATTCAGTGGTGTGCCTCATACCATTCTAAATGAATATGAAATTTAAGTACTTAAAAATAAATTAGCATTATTCAAACTTTGAAATGTATTTATTTTCTGTTAATACTACATATTAAGAGAGAGGAATTGGTTATTTGTTCTGTCATAATAGAAATCCAAAATCTAAATTAATTTGAATAATTCCGTATCTCTCCTCTGAAGGGCTTAGATCTTTTTTATTTTAATAGTAACCCAATATATTTTTGAATTTCATTAATATGTTCCAGACAGAGCTCATATGATAGTATTTTTTGAAGTTCCGAGAACTAGAAAAATATTTTATGTAAAAATATCTTTTTTAAAATATGTTTTAATGACCACTTTTCAAACACGGACCTATACATTAATTAAAAACATTAACATATTAATAGCTGTTGTTAATGAAAAATTAGACTCGATCTCAGAGCTAGTTACTTTACATATATATTATATTTTATTCAATTTTTAAAATAAAATTTCAAGGAAGGTTTTATCTTGTTTACAGGTAGGAAAACTGAATCTCTGAGCAACTAAATGACTCTTCCAATATGTAGAAATAGGAAATAATTCCTATTAAATTATCATTTATTTCTAGATAATCATTATGATTATATTTGTTTATAAATGATTAGAAATAAGATTTTCTCTAAAATTGTGTTCTCAAACACTAACTTATTTATATATATTAAAATAAAATTAGATAAAAAAAGACATACTAAATATAATATACCAAAACCAACAAAAGTCTGTTACTTTTAGGAAGTAGATAGTTTTTAAAAATCAAAGATGCAAGGAATGCAAATGAAGAATAGTTTTCAATATCTAGTTGAAGATGGATGTCTGGCTTTATCAAAAACTTTGTCTTTTTTTCCCCCAATCTTGTATCTTCTAGAAGCAAAATTATTCTCCACCTTACAAATGTTGCACGGCATAGAGTGTGTTTGATAAACATTAGTTAAATAAATAAGTGGTGAATGCAACTTTTAGTTAGTAGTTTGAAAGACAAGAACAATCATTTGGAGTGCAGGCACAGGTACAAGTTTGTGGATAGATAGAACTTCCAAAGAATGGTAGTAAAGACACAAATAATAAGTGAAAACATTTCACAAGCCTATATTAACATCTTAATGTTTTTAGACATTAGCAGTTTAACTTTTGTTAATAAAGTATCTTTTTTTGATCAATTGAGAGAACATAAAATCCAGCACAAAGAAATTCCATTGCTTCAGGCTTTCTTTAATCTGAATTTTCTTGAAAATTGAATAAAGAAAACTTATTTTCTATATGTGTCCTGGACTCTTGACTTCTCAATGTCTTATCATAGGCAAAGTGAGAAATCTCTGAAGTTAATATAAAATACGTAAAACTATGGAGATTCTCTCTTTTTTTTCCTAACTAATGTAAGGATATTCGAGCTTGTAGTTTAGAAGGGGCAGTAGATATCTCATGTATTCCAAAAATTAGATAAAGGCTAAGAGAGTGAGATCCCAAGGCCAGATGAATTATGTATTTAATCTAGTATAATTTCAGAAGAATTGATTTTGAACAATGTCAATCAATCTGAGGCAAGGATTAAATGTTTCTTACTTTTTCTTTCTTTCAAAATCAGATGTTCATTGAAGACTGTGTTTATATTTGACTTGCTTTGAAGCCACTTACATAAGTGTGTGTGTATAACTATATTAAGAGACTCCTTAAATTTTGTGTTTTTTGGGGTTTTTTTTGTGATTATCTCAAAAATGGGAGATTTAAAAAGAAAGAAAAATTTTGTGATGATGGTCCCATCACCAAATCGAAAGGTTTTTATTAAACCTATAAAATAATGTGATTAATAAATATGTCATACATTAGGTAAAAACTGCTATGTCTCTTATATTAGTCCTGTATAACCTAAAATCTCTAAATCCTGGATTCTATAAAAGCAGTCAAGGGGAGTTTTATATTAAAAATATACATTTGAATACAAAACTCATCAGTGATAAAATTATAATGACCAAAGAAGATTCACATTCCTTTTCTTCTATCTAAAAGTATAGAAGATACATAATTTTGGAAATTAAATTGGCCACACAAATTAAACACAGAAAAATACTTTCTGGTGAAACGAATCAGAATCTGAATCTCAGTTTAATCCCTGGCTCACTGTGTTTCTTGAAGGCCAATGGCTACGTCTGTCTGATCCTTGGATTTCTCATACATAAAATATAAATCAATAGTATCTATTTTAGATATATGTTGTGACAATTAAATAACAATGCTTAATCCACTTCCCAGTTTTAATAGTTACAGCTATTTCTTGGTTAATAAATGTA